CTTAAATATGTCTCATATCACTGCTATGCAGATGACACTCAAGTTATTTGTCTTTTTAAAGATTCACAAGGTTTTTGAAATTGAACATTTTTGCAAAAGATAAATAAAACTGGAAAGAGGACACTTTCAAAAGTATTAAACTCATGTATCTAAAATGAAGGCATTAAATTGATTTTAAAAATGTAAGCTGGCCTTAAATACATTATTTCTTAAATTTCATCATGATTGGTCTATTCAATGTCCTATAATTTATGGACTTTGTTTTTCTGTCAGGCAAAGCTCGAGTCACACGTAGACATCTTAATTACATTCTGTGACTTCAGGCAGTTGAGGCTACCGCTAACTAGCTGCTAACATACCCTTGCTAGCCAGCCAACTAGCTAGCTTCTTTCTTCTATCATAGGTAAGTATGAATTCATTGCCAATGTCTCACTTCTGTTGCCAACTCACTCACTACCACTACATTTCTGTCATGGCGGAAGCCTTAAATTTCATTCATACTGGTCTTTAAAAGTCTTAAATATGAGTTGGTGAAACAGTGACAGTAGAGATTGAGTGGATGTGATGTTTGGAGAAGCAGAGAGTCAATGAAAGACGGATGAGCATCAATCGAGGCTTTTTGACATCAAGCATTTTGTTTCATCGGTGTTCAAAATGGTCAGATTAGAAGAATCCATGTGAATAACGTCTTTTTCACCAATTCGAGGAGATGACAAGCATCTTCCACAATGGATTATCTGTGCACATGACTCTGCTGTGAGGACCGCTCTTCACTGCAGATATGTGACCCACTCTGCTGACAGCAGCGATGACGGCGCCGTCGCTGACAGCCTGACTTTAAGAAAGGCCACGAGTCACTCCACCAGGCGCAAAACGCTTAATCTCTCCTTTCCCATCACAAAGGGAGCTGCATGACGCAACGCTTTGCAACAGAGAAGAAGTGACACTCGCTGTCAGTGACATGTTGGCCATGAAATGGACTGTGGCTTTTAAATACAGCCATGCTCACCCTGACAGCTGGAATTATGCTCTGCATTTAAATGGAGGTGAAAATGCGCAGAATTGAAATGATCTTCTGGCAACTAGTGAGAGCATTTTTTTTGTCTCACAGCGTTCTACTTGAGCAGCGAAAAAGGAAACTAAATTTAAAAACTGTTTGTTTGACCTGCATAATTTTGGACAAGGCGCCTCAGGGAAGTTCAAACAACCCGCAGACCCCGGTCCAATCTTTTCTCCTGAAAGAGTTCACTTCACAAAAGCAGAATGGTTCATGTCATTCACACTGAGGGTGAACTGCCCTGCACTGCAGGACTTTATTTGCACTTTAATAACACGTTTGAAGCACAGGCAAACATTATAAATTACAGAATAATGAAGTTTCCTCAACAGGTAAGCTGTGTTGCTGTGCAACCAGAAGGTTCTGGGTTCAAATCCTAATGGCGTTTGGATGTTCTCTCTGGGAACTCTGCTTTCTGCTGCAGTCTGAAAACATAACTCTGAATTGACTATTTGTCCTGAGAAAGAGGTCATTTTTTAGACTTTAAATTCAGAAATCTATAAGCATTTTCTTAATATGTGGTAGATTTTTTTTTAACAAACAGCCTAATTTAGGTCAAATGTTTTGGGTCTTCTCCCACTCTTGCTGTATTTTGCTGTGATTTTGTCCCATTCCTCCTGACAGAACTGATGTATTTGAATCAGATTTTCAGCTCTACCAACATATTTTCCATTGTAGCAACATCAGAGCTTTGAAAAAAATAACTATGCTGTTCTTTAACCTCTAATTTGACAGTTTGCTTTTGGTCGTTGTCCATTTGGAAAACCAATCTATGCCCAAGCTTGAACTTCCTGTCTGATAACACTTAGTCATTAATTGAGTAATTATTTGAGTTGAGGGTTTGGAGCATATAAATAATAAACATTAAGCTTTGTTTGGGAAGAAATAAGTCAAACGCGAGTGTTCATTTTTATTCCCAGCATACAAAGTGAGGCGACAGCTTTAGAAGACCCACAGAGCCATAACTTATACTTACAATCTTTAATTAATGACAAAATTACCTCATAAACTGAGCAAACCGCCTGGGTTTTACCGCCTGGGTTTTACAGCTCCCAACGAAGAAGGCCACACAACACCCTCTGTGCATACCCAAGTATGTGTTTTTAATGCCAGACAGCTTCCACAACTAATGCTTGGAGTCGACTGTGATTTGCAAATACAAGGCTTTGAATAGGCCAGCTCTTTAAAGTGAACAAATTACACAAGAAAGAGCAGGTTAAGTAGTTTAACCAATCTGATTTTACAAGGATTTTATTCTGTTTCAAAACTAATGAACATTTTAATAAATGAAACAACTCCGGTTTCTGAACATCGGACAATTATTCCCTCTTGTTTTGGATGTGTGATGACGCGTAACCATGGCAACAGGGGACTCTCTTCTTCTTCTTCTCTTTTTTTTTCTCCACTCCTCAAAAAGCTGCAACAGCAAATTCCAGAAGAAGTTGAAATGGAAGCAACACAGAGAGAGGAGGAGAAACTCAAACTGCGTCGATCATTTGAAGAGGAGCTGCAAAAGCAAATGAGGCGGATTAGCAGTGCTTGCCCACATCCAAGTCATGTCAATGTGGAATATCATCTCTATTCTCTGGAAACTGGACTGTTAGCATGTTGTAACAGTTATACAGCAGCAGTCTTTAGTCAGAGGCACCTTCAGATTCGTTGGAAGACTGACTGCTACTGGAATTCCTTCCTGTTCATACCATTACCATCCACACTGAAAATACTTGGCTACACATAGTATCTCGCAACTTAATCTAATATGTAGGTCTAAAATTCTGCATGTATTAATTATTTATAATAAAATTAAGTTAAATTTAACAATTTAGTTCTCTAATAGAGTTACTGAGTCCAAAATGGGGAACCAATTGAACCTAACAATAAATCCCTATTCCTTATCTTTTAAACCTGACTCTCTCAGTGTCTTTACCTATTTGTACAGCTATTCTATTTTCTAAATACTTTTAAAACATTTTTTTAGGTGCACCATTGGGTTTTACAGTGTTATGACACCATTTAATTTTTCTTTGGGATAAATAAAGTGTTTTTAAATTGAATTTCTGAGGATGCAGGTGTTTGGAAATCTCTCAACCTGCAGAAACACCAGGGAGGCTGTGAGATTTCTTCTTCTACTGAACCAAAAAACAAGAAAGGTCAAATCAAATTTGCTCAAAACCACATAAAGAAAACCCAGAGGTTTGGATTTTGTTCTGTGGATAGAAATGTAACAGTTAAATTATTAAATCTGGATTTCCAGCAAGGTCTCCGACTTTTACTTTTTGCAGTTTTCTAGTGTACGCCAAGAGTGCTTGACAGAAATTTCTCTATAATTCCCACAACTCTGGTCCAGACTTTGCCTTATCTTCCTCAGTTGCTCTCGTTGCATCAATGTGCCGGAGATCTTTGGGGAATTACAGCCGCAAAACCCTTTTTTGACATGTGTCTGGTACATTCTGGGTTGTCATGGACCAGAAAATGAGTTGTTATCCTGAAATACAATCCAGACAGGCTGCTGTAGGTAATAATGTCAAGTAGTCTTATCATTTTGAAATGATCCATCTCTACTATCACGAAGAAACATGATTATTAGAAATGATCTTTTGTAAATGTGTATGATAAAATCAAGACCAGAAAATTGAAAACTAATACATTTTAATTTTTGGTGACTTGGATTTGGTTCCATAATGTTTTCCAGAACTGGTACACTGTAGAAAACACAAAAAAATCTATTTTCATGTATAAATAAATAATGTTACAACATAATAAAGCTCGTCTTTTCCTCTCAGTGTCACCTAGAACACTCTATCCTGGAGGAAAATGCCCACCTCTATAAATGTCCTGATCCCCAATTAGCAGGCAATTATAAATTCATGGATTTAAGAGAGAAAATTACAAACATAAAACTTATTTTTCTTTGATAGCAGTAACTTTTAATGTCTGTCTCTTAATTCCTGGCACAGAGTTATGTCTAAAATAAAGAGCGTTACACTCATACCACAAGTTTTATTAACTATTAGTAGGTGGCTGTTATAACAGTTGGTCATTTCAATCAAAATGACCAAATCAGAAAATAACCAAATAGCTAAAACCAAAAAATAAAAGATATTGTGAGTCAATAAAATGATTGCAGTTCATTCTAAACATGTATGTTTAAGAACCAAGGTTTGTTTTGAGGAATGAACCAAATTAGCTTGAAAGCTAGCAAAGCTGCAGAACAATAGCTGCAAAACTGAAGAAAATAAAAGCATCAGTTTTATAAAACGTTTCAAAAGTGGGGTGGACGGTAAAGGAAAATCTGGACACAGTTTTGCATAAGGCAGATGTTGTGACCTCACATCCTTTATTAGCAAATGAGCTAACAAAGAAAATAAGCCCCACATACAAATATTATTATTATGCTAATGCTGGAGGTGAGCTACAACCTAATGATCTTTAGCATCTTGGTATTAACAGTTATAAAAGATCATTTAGTATGTTTACAGGAACAATGTGGACATATTTAATGCAAATTACCAAGAGGAAATCAGAAATGTTAGTGGGCATCAAATGCTTGAACTACTCAGTGAGAGAGTTTGAATACTTTCACCAGATCCACAGTATTGCACTAGTGTTCATAAAAATAATTGAAACATTTATCTCCATCTTTTATTAATGATTTAAGCAGAAATTGGTGTAAATTACTCCCACTTTTGGTTTCTCCTTCATGTATTTAGTGCAGTTTGCTTTGTAAAAAAATAAAAAATGCCTTATTTTAGTGATTTGTTTTAATAAAGTTTGTTTTGGTAGAGGACTAGAACATGTTTTAAAACATGTATAAAATACTTGCGCCATTGCTAATATGGATTTTTTTAGGTCTTTCTTGGACATCCTAAACAGCCTCCAGCAGACGAACCGAAGCGTTCACACATTTACAGGCAGTTTCCTCTTCTGGTCTGTTTACCACCAGCAGTGATGTTGCTGAGGATCGATGCTGGAGGGGAGCGAGGCGCGAGCGCGCCGGATCGGGAGCGCGCGCATAGGAAGGACCGGGAGGAAGCAGCAGCAGCAGCTCCTCAGTCGCCAGCGGAGTCCAGGACGGCGGATGAACGGAGCAAAGCGAGCATCGTTTTCCCACAGCGGCTTTCCTCCGAGCAGCGCCCCGCAGCCCGAAACCTGCCCGAAAATGATGCTGAAAGCGGCCCTTCTCTTCGGGGTGCTCGTCGGCATCAGTCAAGGTGAGCCGGATGCCAGGAAGCCTTTTGGAGCTTGGTGACTTTGTGGATAAGTTGTGTGCCATTTTGGTCCGCTGCGATAGAGGCGGGGAGAAGTGGGGCTGGATTGTTTAAGTGGACGTTGTTTGGTAGTTGAAGCACGTCTTGCGGGGGGCCAGAATGCTTTCGCCCTGAAAAGGGGGATTATGATGGGGGTCCTTTATAGGAATGGGGAAACCGAGGCTTTTAGACGCAAAGTAAGCGCTCGCGCTGCGTTTCTGCCTCCTTCACATTTTTGCTTCATTTCCTTCAACTTCAGCTGCTTGTATTTGGACCACCGCCTTCCTTTTTCTCTTTTTGCTGCAGACTGTAGATTGAAGATAGCGCTGAAACATCTCCGCATCCCGCACGCGACAGCTCCGCGATGCGGCTTCACGCGCCTCAAAGTTTCGGGCATTTTTTTTTTTTTTAGCAGCTGTTAATTGGTATCCACGCGCACCTGTTCGTGGCTGCTCGTTACCTTGCGCTCGATTAAATGCAGCGCGCGCAGCTGCATCCTTTTGACTTGTCGTGTCTCTAATTATTTGCTGGTCAGTGAAGCCTGAGAAAACGACTAACTCCATGTTTCAAAGCGCAATTAAATAAAGCACAAAACATTCCTTTATATGTATATATTGACAAAAATACTTAAATTGAGTTGGAGGTTTTTGCAGAGGGGTTGCTCTGGTTTCCGGAGCGCGACGGCAGGTGGGGGTAGAGCGCTGCAACGTGCTGCCAAGACTGAAGTCGTGAAAGCTTGTTGCATGCTCATGATGCTGTAAGGCTCAAACTGGGAGCCATAAAGGAGAGAGATATATGCACAACTTTTATTGCTACTTCCTTTGATGACATGCATCCGTTCAACATGTTGAAGGCTTTTCTTTAGGCTTGTCTGTTGTTATGGTTAAGTAAACAGTAATGTGTGCTATTTGGCTTTTTTGTGCTACACCAACAAAAACAAGCAAATAATTGTGAAGAGTGTCATATTTCTGCCAGTGTGGCTCATCTGTAGGCTACAATTAATCAAGGTCAGTTGGATTGCATCTATTTTCAGGTCTTGCTTTAGAGCAGGTGTCAAACCCGAGGCTCAGGGGCCAAATCTGGCCCGCTGTAGTTTTTTTATATGGCCCTCTAAACTCCCAATTACATCAATAAGTTCCTCCAGTTTTTCACAAATAGGCAAAATCTACAGATCCCCATGTTTCTTTTCTTTAAGAAAATCTTAATTACTGATATTTTAACAGTTTAATGGTTTTATCAGTACATTCTGACACAACCGGCCCTTTAAGAACATTCAGATTTTTGACATGGTCCGAAATGAAACTTCTCATTTGGAGACTTAAGATTGAAGTCCGGGTTTTGACTGGGCCATTCTAACAGCGGATTGTTATGTTATTTAACCTCCACTGCAGTTTTTGGAAGATTTTTTTATTGTGGATTTCTCATCTTATTATTTATAATTTATCAGAATAATATTTAGATATTTTGTTGTCATGATGTTTTTTTTAAAAAGCCAAACTGTCCATATTGTGACGTTTTATTGATAAGTCATTCATCCATAATTCAGCTCTACATAAGTTTCTTTAAATTCCAACTTTGCTGGACCTGCTGAGGAAAAGATCCCCTCAGCATGATGCTGCCACTGGTACCAGAATCAGCTGACCAGTGGGGAACAGTTTGTTTTAAATTTTGTTATTACAGGATTGTTGAAGCTCATATATATTTATGAATGTAGATTTTTTGTGTGTTGGGCAAAAATTGTTTTTTGCCAACATCTTCACTGTGTTTTGAGGCAGTTGATGCTACTGCTAACTAGCGGCTAGTATATTCTTATTAGCTGGACTGTAAGGTATGGCTGAAAAACTTATCAGTGGATATTGATAAGTATTGATTTTTTGTGTCATAAGTAAATGAACTGGTAGTGAAAACCCTCCTGTCTCATCCAGTTCTCACTCCATTGTGTTTTTTTTAAGCAGTGAAACTTTAAACTGCTGCTGCGCAAGTTACTCAACATGTTGTTGCTAGGAAACCAAAGAGGAAGTGAGTTGCTAGGCAACCAAAGAGGAAGTAAGTTACTAGGTAACCAATTAGTGAGTGAATTGGTTGACTCCACCAAACTTGCTTAGCTAGCTGTGAGAGGTTGAGTTGCTAACGTCTTCCCTCTGCCTACATTTCCCAAAATGCCAAGTGGTTCTGGATTGGAGTCCAATATGTATTACGCACATTGAATATTTCATCAGATGTATTTTGTATTGATATTGATCACGTGTCGTTTACGACATGTTATTGATTTATTATCCAGCCCTTCATGCTAGCAAGCTAGCTAGCTAGCTAGCTTTTGTGTCACAGAGCTCGACACACAGGGAGTGACGAATGATGGCGACAGGCAAAGGTCAAGGGTGAAAACCAACACCAAGGAATTTGTAGCGACGACGGCAACAAAAGTTGAACATTTTCTCAACTTCTTCTCAGGACATTTCAGTGGTCTTCATTATGCTGTTTATTATTATATTAGAGAATGCAGTTCATCTGGATTTATACCGAGATTAAATCACATACAGATGGGTTATATAATGTCTTAATTCAGGCTATTTTATTGATATTTGTACATAGACTTTTTACTATTCTACTGGTGTTGTGTAATTCTCTTTAAATGTTCTTTTTCTCCCACCTTCCTGCAAGGAACAGTTCCTTAAGGCGATAATAATAAATTCGTTATGATACATTCTGGAGTTCAAGAAAAGATATTTGTACTTGTGCAACTTCCTGCATCACTTGGTAACCGGTGAACTTAAAACGTAGCGAAGGAGAAGAAGAAGCATTTACAGTCTGGTTGCTGCTTCATTCATTATTAAATTCTGACATTGAACAAAGAGATGCCACTATTTTAAGTTTTCCCTTGAATATTCACGGGTTTGTTACTGGTTCTTCGTTGCAGGGGTGTTACATCACCCACCAACCAATTTCCATTCTTATCGAGCTTTTTCTGATAGCAAAGTCAACTCAGTCTGACCCAGCCGACGACACACGGCTCGCTGTAATGGGAGTAATGAGGGATCTTTGCAGTGAAGCGCTGAGTTGTAGCGGATCTTTTATCAGTGTGAGGTTCTGGATCCGACATTGAACCAGGTGCTTCTGGCGCCTAAACACCGTTTTATCCCCTCTGGCTCCAGAAGGAACAACATTTGCTTGTGAACTCCCAGCTCTCCGTCTCTTTCCCCGCATCCTTGAAGGTTTATGTATTTGGCTGCTGCAGATGCTTAGCACAATGAATTATATGCTTGCTTGGGCTCACCCGGGACTCGCCGATGTGATGTTAAGTGGCGTAATTAAGATATTTCGCTGTATCTCTTGGGGATGTTGGTGGTGTCTGAGGCTAAGGGTTTAAAAGATTTATACCAACGTGCTTCAGTGTGCCTCATTACACCCGGAGCAAAGACTTCACCGTGTATCAGGTTTATATTTTATCTACATGCTCACATTAGCAAGCAGGAACACAAAAAGTGGCACAACCTTTTGATACTCAGATGTGCATTTTTAAAGTAACAGCATCATGTAAAATGAATGTGTTTGAGCTTTACAGCATCTGGAGTTTTGCCTTGATTCTTTCATGCATGTTTGAGAAACCCTTTAATCTCCATTGCAACCATTCAGCTGGCGTTGGACTTCGTCCCGCCTTTGAAGCTCCTCTGAGTTTACAAGCTTCAGGTTCACAGAGGAGTTCCTTCAGACTAGCCTGCTGCAATTGGCAAACACCTGGTGGAGCAGCGCATCTCGTTATAGGAGCGACTCTCAGATTAACGCTGCTAAAAACGTCTGTAAAGGATTAATAGAGCAGCCATGTTGGAATTACTTCCTGAAGGCGGAGTTTCAGAAAGAACAGGAGTTTTTAAAGAGATTTATACCAATTTCAAGGTGATAAATTACAAAATAAAATCTCTATTAAGTCAGATTTGAGTTGAATAGAAACATAGTTACTTGATTGCACTATAACAAGTGTCAAACTCAAGACCTGCAGCATCACCATAACTTTTTATGTGGCCCTCGAAACTCCAAATTACATCAATAAGTTCCTCTAGTTTTCTGGAAATATGTAGAATTCACACAAAATCAACAAACCCCCAATTTTTCTGATTTTTACAGCAGATTTTTCTCAAAATTGGCCAAAAACATTGGATTTAAGTGACTGCAGTTCAGTTAAAATCTTTGATCAATACAGTGATGAATAAAAACTGACATTTAATGTCATACAAATAAAATTCTGTGATTTAAAAGCACAAAAACAAAATCAAATCAGTGTGAAAAGATGATCAATATTATTAAATTTTAAGAAATGCTATTTATTGGTGATATTTTTATTAATACAGTCAGGCACAACCGGCCCTTTAAGAACAATCAGAAAAACACTCCTGCTGTATGTAGCTGGAAAATCCACAACACTGACTCTTTTAAAAAGTTGAGATTTAATTCTTCTCACACCTCCTAGCATCACCCAAAGCAAATCACAAGTTCCTCTTTCAGCTCCGCGGCGCCCCTCGCAGAGCGAATGCAGCGCTGCGTGATTAGATTAATGGAAAAAAGGAGAGATGTAAAGAGCCAGCACATATATGGGAATGCGATCACTCCCTGGAGGCAGCTGTGCATGCAGGCATCAATTTAAGCAGCGACCAGAGTCAGCAGGGCCCCGCGGTTGTACAAAGGCCAATCTCTGTGTTATAGATATGCTGTTTATTTGCCTGCAAGCTTTTGATTCCCCGTGTTTGCCCTTCAGCACTCGAGGCGCCGCGTTCTGGCCTCAGCTTTGAATAATCGAGCCGAGACTCTAAACACCTGGATGTCTGAGGAACGACAACTTGGCGAATGAGAAAAAGGTTTTCTAACGTCTACATCTGCATTTTGTGCCTGTTTGAAATTATTGTTTGATTATTAATGAATGAGCTGTTGGCAAACTTCACTGAAACTCATTTGAGCTTTTTCAGGCTGTT